TATATATATATATATATATATATATACACGCACTTAATTATTTTTAATGAGAAAAAAATTTATAATGAGAAAATAATCAAAACATCATTAAATTATTTTAAAATGTACATAATAATGGTCGACACAAATCCTTATCTTGAAGCATAATAATGGGTTGCTAGCAATAAAAATTAATGCAATTAGTAATTGCAAAAGAAACAAATGTCAAAATTGAGACTTATATATGCAACAATTAAGGTATCTGCATGTATAATTACTATTTGTAATTGCAGTTGAAGTAAGTCGAAGCAGAGGAGAACAATAACATGCAGAAGAAGAGGAAAGCAACGCCTTTGAAAAGGGAAACCTGGTAAAAGTTGCGGTGACCATCCTCACATAACAAGGCTTCCTGCAATTACCATGGCTGGTCTTTATGAAAAGGGGGTATGAAAGGAAGAGTTCATGGTTTGGTGGCACTTTGTGTTATGGCATGAGAACAAGAAAAAGAGATTCTTGACATGCTTTCGTTTTCATGGTTGGCCATGCAACTGTTTGACACAGAACAGAGTTTTAGAGAGAGAGAGAGAGAGAGAGAGCAACAAGGCAACAACATATTCTCTAAGAGTAGTGATGAATTGGTGGAGCATTTGTTTTGTAGTTGTCTGATCAAAGGAAGAATCAAGAATAAAATGTGAGTTTTCCTATCAATATAAGGCAGGTTGTTTGTCTGCTTTCCTCTTTGCTGCTGCTGCATACCATCTCATCTCTGACTTTGAGATCCCAATTGGATGTTAGCTACTTCTTTCTGCTGCTAATAGTTATATGTTATTTATGTTTTCATGGGATAAATGTCTCCAATTAGACATGATCAAGAAAGCAGAATGAAGAGAAGGAAGGATAAGAGAACACAGGACCAATCCTCTGCCATGGAGAAGCAAATTTTCAGAGAGAGACTGCTATCATCTTTTAGATTCTTGTGCAATGACAGGTGTAATGTGTGCTCTCCAAGTAATCCCCTCTCAGTTGAATGCTGGGTCAAAAGTGAAGCTGCTTTATCTCTCTACTTCAGCTTCTCTTCTGCGATTCCATTATATTAGTCTCTCCACTTTCTATGCATGATTCATAGCCTTGCAATGCGATTAAGACAAGTTGGGGAAGGCAAAGCTACCATCTCAATCTTCCCATGGTATTATTTTTGTGTGTGGTCGATTCTAGAAATTGCTTGATCTACTAACAGATCTCCTAATCCAAATCAATGTGGCTCCATTGTTTGCCTACCTTGCAATGATTTGTTGTTGAGGAGTCCCCATCGTCTCGACTGACGTTTTAGTGCTCGTCTCTGTCATTACATCAGACACAAAGTTGGATTATTAGAGAGAATGTTACGTGGAAGATTGAGCAACAGCTTTGCCTTCGATCGCTGCAATGTTCTTCCTGAAAGCAGTACGTATAATGATGAGACTTTTAGCCTCTCGAATCAACTCCCTTACGAGCTTAAGAGTACGAGATTAATGGAGATGGGATTGATGAATTGCCATCATCGGTAGAGAGATATGTAAACCATTCCTTCTTTCTCTATGAACCTGACAACTGAGACAAAATCCCTTACAAGCATGTATGGTGTAGTTGGATCGACAGACACCTGAAGGTTGCAGATGCAGAACAAACTAGGACAAACAAGTTGCCTTCTTTCTTTCGTGTCATCGATTGGTTGGCGGAGACAACGCCGTCTTCTTGCGCCTCCGGTACTCCTCGTTGTTCGACGACGGCTCGATCACGTCGGGGGCGAACCTCACCTTCTTCCTTGGCCGGTTTCTTTCACGACCTGCCGGAGCAAGAGAGATCGCACGCGGTTACCTTTGACCTCGAGGAGTGCAAACAGAGGAAGAACGAGAAGCCGGAGCAAGAAACACAGGGGAGGATAGGATTGGATACCGATTTCCGACTCGAGCTTCTTGATGAAGTCCGAGGCGAGGCGCCGGTGGACCTGGAGGGCGACGAGCGCGATGCTGCCGGAGACGGCGACGACCGCCACGAGTCCCATGCAGTTGGAGCTCTCCATCTTCTTCTTCCTCTGCCTACGGCTTTTCCTGTTTCTTCTGCCTCCGAGAGGATGGAGGAGGAATGTGGAGGTATATGAATTCGCGAGGGAGAGGAAACAAGGAAGAGAAGGGTGGGAAATGGCAAGGCACGGGCTAAGTTTAGAAGGAAGACGCCAATCCATTTGGTCTTCGACGAGTTCTCGGTTGACTTCTCTTCCCCAAAACAAAAGATTGCTTTTCCGACGCACCTTCCAACGCACCGGACTTACGATTGAAGCCAGCGCTGGGGCCCGCAAATGAATCCGGCCACGGGAAGGGTGCGTTGAAGGGTACAGTACAGATCGAGGGTTGACCGAATTGAGATGCATGATATGACTAAAATGACCTCGGATGACATAACCTAAGTTGACTCCATCCAAAACCGGATGATCGGTGTTGGGTTGGTGACCCACTCATGACCTAATTTAATTGGCTTCAATTCTCACCATTTCCACTGATCTCACCTTTAATGTATTTTTGTTTTCTTTGCGTAATCATTTTTCTAATTATATTTTAATATTTAGTATTTATGTGGTAGATCATTACAGAGATGGAAGAACTATAATTATGAATGGATGATGGACGTATAAAATATTTTAGAAAGGGTTCCAACGTTCAATCCATGCACTTACGTTTTGTATTATTCCAAAATAATATTGCTCGTCTTATTTAAAAAAATATATATATATTTTCATGGAAACTCAATTAATATGTGCTTGTTTATATTAAATACATTGCAGTCATGGAATCTTCACCAAATATATTTTTTAATATTAAACATTAAAAAATCACCTTCGAATTTGACCATGTAATCAGTTTGACTTTGGTTCGATTCAAACCGAAACTAAATCGATACGGAATTGAAATTGAACCGGATTAATGGTTTAGTAGTTTTGAACCAAATCAGAATTAGGATAATTTAATTTAGTTTCGATTTTTAAAATTAAAATCAAACCGTTCCGAACCGACCAAAAAACTTAGAATCAAACAATAAATTAAAAAAAGGTGCCCTTATAAGTGACAAATCTAATTTTTAATAATTTAATAAACAATAAATTGAAGATTTATTTTGATAATTAATAAAAATAAAAAATATATAATTTTATTTTGCACTGAAACTAAAACTAAAATCAATGATTCATGAACTGCAACCGATATCGAACAGTTTGGAATCGATTTATTTCTAATTTCAAATTCGATTCGAACAAAAATTAAGTCGCTTCGAAATCAAAATCAAATCGGGTTTCAAATCGAATGATTTAATTTAGTTTTTATTTTTAAAATCTGGAATCAAATTTCATTTTGAATCAACAAAAAAAAAATAAGCGCCCTATATATGACATATATATATATATATATATATATATATATATATATATATATATATATATATATATATGGTAATTTAATAAATAACTAATTGAACTGATATTTTGATAATTTAAAAAAAATATTTTTTATTCTAAAAGCGAAATCAAAATTAAAATCATCCGTTCTTGAACCGGAATCAAAACCGAACCGTCTCTATTCCAAATTATAAGGAATCGAAGCCATTGATTCTGAAAGGGCATGAGGAGTACACGTAATGTAGTGCTATATATTCATCCTGCTCACATGCAGAGATAGAGATAGAGAGAGAGAGAGAGAGAGAGAGAGAGTAAAACATGAATCTGTCTTCATAAAACGAATATTAAATGCATGAATTTAGTGAAATACACGTGTTGAGAGGGCATGAGGAGTACACGTAATGTAGTCCTACATATTCATCCTACTCACATGCAGAGATAGAGAGAGAGAGAGAGAGTAAAACATGAATCTGTCTTCATAAAACGAATATTAAATGCATGAATTTGGTGAAATACACGTGTTGAGAGGGCTGTGAACACACAAAACTAAAAGACACAAATGTGGTTCTTCTCACACGTTTGGCTGTTGCCACTTGTCATACATCGGCCGACTCATCATCGTCGAGGGGAAGCTTTCATGGTTGGCTCTTCTTGCAGCAATCTGCAGGTGTAACATCCAAGAAAGCTATGGGAGCAGCTTCCTTGCCAACCTTCCCCAAGACTTCCTTGCAGGTGGATGGAGATCATGGTGAGAGGACCACAACATGACCTTCACCATCAATGAAGGAGGTAGCAACATCTACAGAACATGGCAAGGGTGGTTTATTTCCTTCCTCCATCGAAAAGTCTTTCCATGTGAGGTTGCAGTGTGTCCACAAGTAATGTGCATGCACAGGCCCTGAATCTGCTGAACAAGAAAGAGAAGACATGTAGAGAGACCAGCTTATGGATTTTTAGCAATACAAGTACTGCTCACTTGAACGGACAATAAAAGGTTTCACAGGAAACTACTCGAGAGAAAAAAAAGAAGTGATAAATTGATGGTGAATTTGAAGTGTTTTGAGATATTATTTCAGTGATATCGATGAAGAGAACGATTGCCGAAGTCATATGGTGCTCCTCGTTAGGTCTGACAGTAAAGAATCAACATACTTTTGACCTCGTGTGATTGCTAGATCGATGCAAGAACAGATAGAGTTATACCATATTTGTTTGTCTATTCTGCTCGGAAGCAGTCAAAGTTGTCGGTGGCATTCAGACTCTCTCTCTCTCTCTCTCTCTCTAAAAACGAACAAAAACATGTAGAATAAAAAGCATTATGGTCAAAAAAATAATGTGTTGGTGGCATTCATATGACATGCTCATTTCCTTCGTCCTTCGTTCTCCCTATTAAATTATTCAGCATCAGCTGGTGGTCTTCCTTTGATTCCTAATTAATGGAGTCTCGTTGACGTCATCGACGCTATGGTGGCTTTCTTCTCCATCTTCTGGTATATATATAGTGAGTTAAAAAGCAGCAGCAACCATTGCTTCAGGCGGGAGAGAGCAACAGGGTGAGACTCCGAGGCCTCACCCTCTCAAGGCTGCCAAGGAATCATGCAAGATCAAAAAGGCACCGAGGTCCGGCTCGGGATTGCCGTCGCCGCAGCCGCTGTAGGAGTCCGGCGGCCTTCCGCTCATCGTCCACATCGACTCGCCTCCAGTCATCGATGCAGCGCCTCAGGAGTTCATGGGATTGGTGCAGCTCCTACTGGAAACTCCTCTTCTCCCTCTCCATTCTGGCTTCAGCATAAAGCGATCTTCACGCTGAGGACGCTTCTATAAACGTAGGTTGTTTTAGTGTCGTATGTAGATATCATGTAAAATTATCTAAAAATAATTCATCCAAATAGTCATCCCGTATAACATCCTTTAACACATGACTATATAAGCCTTTGAAATATTATCTACGATTGATTCATTATCTTATTTTGTAGTAGTGTCAAGTAAATATTTATAATGACTTTTGGTCATGATAAATCACATTGAACCATTCGTCCTATGATCATTCAAAGTTTATAAAATTTATATTTATAATTATATTGTCTATCAAGTATTTACTAAAATATCTATTTATGAGATCCCGAGTTAAGCATTTAATCTAACCTATCTTCTCTTCTATATGTCTTTATGAAACCATAGGAGGTTTCAATGAGACTAATCATTTACCAACGGACACACAAAGTTACCACGTCACTTATAAACATTTTATATACAAAATGTATGGTATCAATACGGGCTACGTCGAGGGCAACTAACACATGTGATTTTTTTAGAAAAATAAGTATAAATACGTATACAAATGAGTCACTTAAAGGAGTTAACATCCGAGATTTATATTCAGATAAATAATTACTCCTTTGCACGAGAGATGCAACGAGGACAAATGAGTTAGGAAAAACACATAGCGCACAAAAGTTGAGATAATTGAGTTCGAGTTATAGCTCAACATTGACAAGTAAATTTAATGGTACTCAAGGCAAGTGAGAGTGTTTGGCAAAGGATGAGACTATGTATGAAGGGATGGATTGCTTGGCGAATAAAAGAGTTATACAAAACTCACAAAGGTGAGTGAAATTACTAACTTGAAAATTTTGGTACTCATGTAATGGTTTACATGCGAACGATGAATTATCTATGGGCATCTTAAGGTGATCGAAACTCAATGCCATTAACAATAAAAACTTTTTATTTGACGTGAGAATGATATATCCAAAACTAAAGTATACATTATATTTAATGTATTGCTAGGGTTCGAGGGGCACAGTGGGAGCTGTATTACCAAAGAGTTATAATTTAGAAAGTGTGTTTACGACAATGAAATAATATAGTTTGTTTTGCAATGTGGAGTCGCTTAAGGGGATAATTGTATCTAAAACTTTCATATGGAGGGATGCAGAAAGGAAAGTTGTTCCAACGGGACAAATACATAGAAGGGATAAATTTTAATTTTCTAAAGGGAGAATAATATAATTGCAAAGTCTAGTAATTTATGTTATCTATTAAATGTTTACAAAAATTATTACTTGTTAGATCCCAAGTTAAACGTTTCATCGAACTCATCTCTTCTTTTATAGGTTCTTATAAGATTATAAAAGATTCCAAAGAGATTGATTTTTTACGGATAGCCATGCAAATGTCCTGCACAACTTAGTTAAAACCTATTAAATCTGCATTATATCAAGAGGAGAAGAAAGCATGAGTCGTGCCATAAATCGATACGAAAACATTTATAGTACTTAGGGTTTAATATACATTTTAATATTTAAATATTAATGCCATCTTAGGATGGTATTAACATTTTAGCATTTGTGTGATACTAATAAAATTTTTATAAGATTTATAAAATATTTTATTATATTATAAAAAATCACAAAATTGCTATGGTATAATAGTTGTTTCTCTCGAAACCAACATGATTGATATATCGGTAAAAATTATTAATTTATTTAAAATATTATTTTATATTTATGTATAC